ACAGCATTAGGAATGTTGATAATCACTGATCCAGAGGCTACTGAGTATGACAATATGGTGCTGTAGGAGCTAACAGTTTCTCTAACCCTTAGCAAAACTGAGTAAAGAGGCATAAGTCCAAATCTACTTTAATGCTGCTGGCTAAGAAGCAGAAAAACTAGAAGCAGATCTGCAGACCCTGCAGTCCAGAGACAAAGAAAATGAGAACTGAACATTGTACAACAGTTGGGGTCCCTGACAAGATGAGCCCTTACCAAAGGAAGACTTTCTCCTTGGTCAGCTCACTGAGATTCTGTGAGGCCTCCATATTCTCATTCTTGAAATTCTGCAGGTCTGACATGACCTGCTGATGTTCCATCTTGAGCTTTTCACAGGAAGAGTTTGGCCTGTGGTCGAGTCTGGACCCAGAAGCAAAGAATTCAATGAATTCAGGTCATATAGCACATGAGTGTAAGGTGTGTTCTGTACTATTTCAACCCATGAGATACGCCTTCATGGCTCCTATGTACTCAAGCTCCTATGGACCTCCAGCTGCTTCTTACACTTGCACTTCTGGCCACAAGCCAGCAAGGGCAGGGTGTTAAGAAGGATGCAGCTGGGACTGAATGAGCTCCCTCAGGAGTCATGCCACCTAGCTTGCTATGGAGATCCCACAGTCTATCACAGGTCATGACCCACTAGAAAATGTGATGTTTCTTCTGTTTTCAAATATGAGATTCTCATTCTAGAGTGCCTATATTGGCATGGGGGCTAAAAATCACATTATGAGCATTTCTGAAGATTGGATACAATATCATGATAGCTTCATAAATTCCCCCAGGGCATTCCTAGTTGGCAATAAGATAAACAGACTGGCAAAGGGCGATGCTGCCCAAAATGGGGCTCTTAGTCCACAATAGAGAGCACATATAGATACTGAGATAAGCAACTCTTCATGGTCAACCACAGACCCCTGATTGTAGGGTGAAGAGAAACACATATGCACAAACACACAAACACATAGACAAGATAGAAGGATGAGAGAGAGACAGAGACAGAAAGAGAGAGAGAGTCAGAGAGATAGAGAGAGAGATAGAAGAGAAAGAAAAACATAGACTGAGAAAGGGAAGGGGATAGAATGTTCTCAGTGAGATGCCAAATTCATGCATACCATTGTATCATCTCAGAGAGGACCAAGAGCAGCAAACATCAGTACCAGGCCTTGTTGCCACATATTAAGATGTGGGATCAGGCCTCTGCAGCTGCTACTAGGATCATCTAGAAGCACACAATATCTTGCCAGGCAAGTAATACAAATTTCAGTATTCTCACACTAGCCACCACTTGACAGGATCTCTCCAATTTCATGCTAGGAACTCACACACTACTGCCTCAATTCCTGAGTTATGTGATTCAGGCCACAGGCTCTGGTTTTCATTTGGAGGAAGTAGAACAGTCTATGTCCCCATCTCACTCTTGCCCATGTGTCAGGGTTTGCTTCAGGGAAGCATTTAGAGAAATTGTGTTGGACAATGGGACTCCCTGAAGGAGCACCGAGCCTCCCAGAAGCCAATATTTTAGACATTTGAACTAAGGGTGAAATTGTGAAACCAAGACAGTAACCATGTATTATGAAACAGTAAATACCTGTTGTCCAAGCATGCTTCAGATACTAAGATGAGGCGATCTCTCAGATGATTCCTTTGGGCTGTCATCACCTGGGGCTGAGTGGTCAGACTCTTCACCTTCTTCTTCACTTGCCTCTTTGTGAGGCTGGTTGGAGTTTGTGGTGGCTCCTTGGATGCCCCTTTGGTGGATGAACACAAGTGAATTTGCATTGTGACAAGACATAGAGAATGAACAGGTCACCCTGAGTCCTAAGAAAGTGTTTGAGAAAGGATGCACGCAAGCAATTCAATGACACCCCAAAGAATTTTGCCCTGGATTGAGATGCCCCTGCCAGGGGTCTCAGGTCTCCCATCTCTCTGACGGGAGATAGGTGTCTCAGCCACCTGATTTCCTCTGCTCCTTTAACACATGCTTCAGGTAACTAAGGCGAGAGCCTCCTCAGGTTTATTAATAGCACTGGATTCTGCATTCAACTTGGTTTCAGGGTTCACTAGTCTGTTGCTATCAAAGCCAAGATAAAATTGACACAGTCCATAAGTACTCAGGTCATTAAAGATGCATAAATATCCTGACAGGTCACTCTAAGCATATGGCAAAAATGGAGAATCCACACAGGGGCAGAATATGGTTACCATCATCACTAAGACTCCTTAGTGACAATGGAGGGTGCACAGAGCTGGTGGGCAGTA